TTTCTCAGGCCTCTCCACGACCAGCGCTCGCCTGCTTGTGCTGCACCTGGTAGCACCTGCCCTCCCCACACGTGGCTTCCAGTGCTCTGTGGGCTGCGAAACCGGACCCCGACATTCAGAACAGGTAAACCCTCACAGAAGGCTTTGACCCAGGGGTTGGGAGTGAGGCGGCCATGAAGGCCTCGTTCTACCTCACTGGCACCTGGAGCCACCGGGCCCCTGTCTGTCGAGCGTGCATGTTGGAACTTTGAGAATCCACTCAGCCTGGTCCCCCACTGAGAGGTGACCCAGGCCGTTTGGGTGATGCCTGCCGGGACCCTTTGTGGAGAGGCCAGTGGTGCTGCGGACGCTCACCAGTGCCTCGGCCGAGTGTCACCACGGCCTCGACTTCGGCCTCGGCACAGAGGCCCTAGCTCTGCCGAAGTCAGAATGTAACAGATCAGCTTAACCACGAGGCGTCTTTCTCCTCGTACCCTCTTCCAATAAACCCCTTTCCTTCTGAAAAAGAATTTCCAAACCACAATGGTATTTCATAGTCCAAAATAGAGATTTTTATTTCCAAACATATAGCAGGTAATGCTTATAAAAACATAAGACCCTGACAAAAACATGAAACCATCATGTAGGGCACTGCCCCTCCCAACTTGAACGAAAGGAACAGGAAAACTTGAGTGGAGCTTTAAATACGAGGCTGGGAGGAGCCTGGAGGGCCCTGCTTTGCTCCGGGAAGCAGGGGAGCGGGAAGGCGCCCGGTCGGTTTTGGACTCGCTGTGAACCAAGATAACGCACACATGTTACAAGACAACCATTTGGCTGCAATACTTCTTGTCTTCCCAGAAGGCGTAATTTATTGCAAATGCGTGTTTTACAGTCACACGTACTATGACAGGGGTGGATATGGTCCCTCTGCACACTGCTCACACAAGAGAATGTTCTGGACAATAAAACGCATTTGCTTTGGACACCAAAACCACTTACACAGCAACGACCTACACGTACACGCATGTATGCACACGTGCACACGCACACATAGACACACACCACCCCATCGCCTGGTTCCCACGGCATGAACCACACCATTCCAGCCACACGAAGGATACATGATCGTATTGAGTCAGTGTAACCAGGTCTTCGAGCACAAAGCAGGGCGTTCGCTCACAGAGACGTGGCTGAGGTGGCCTGAGGCTGCAGGGCTGCATGGGGGCCCAGGGCAGGGGCCCTCTGGTGCCAGAGCCTCCAATGGGGGAAAGACAAACAGAACACAAACCCACCAGAGGGGGATGCTTTGGAATGACAGGGATGGTCTTTTTGGCTTGAAATGGAGGGAACTGTCCTTGTTCCTCCAAAGTTGGTACTGGACGGTTGCCACCACACACACACGCGCACACACACACACACACACACACACACACGGGCACACGCACGCATGCACACACACGAGAGGGGCCTGGAGCATGAAGCCTTCCTTCAGAGGCAGAAGGCTTCATTTCCAACCAACCCTGCAGAAGCTTCCGGATGACTGAGATCTGGGGGTCAGCTGGCCTCCCGTCATATGGAGAATGTCAGGAAGGACACCCAATTGCTCCCGTAAGAGGCACAGAACGCTGGACCTCAGGGGAAACGTCCTGGCCGGCAGGATCTCCCTGAGTACCCAGAGACCCCCGGGGCCCTCTGTTGTCCTGAAGTCCAGGGCTGGAAGCAGGAGCTGCCTAGCTGTGCTCCTGCACGGTGTATGCATGCGCACACACGTGGACACACACACGCCATGCTCTCATACACACACACACACACACACACACCCTCCTGGTCACTTTTCCCCCCGAGAAAACCGGAACACACGCAGCAGCACCCCGCTCTCCCGTGGAAAGGAAGGGACGGGAGCTCCGCAGCAGGACCCCACTCTCCTGCGGAAGGGACGGGGGCTCTGCAGCAGCCCATGGCCCTGATCTCACTGCCCTGCACATGGTGGCCAGCCCCAGCTTTTCCGGGGGCCGGGGGCAGGCAGCCAGTGAGTGCCTGCCTGCATTCCTGACACTCTGTCCTGTGCCAGCACCCAGCAGTGGGCACAGGGAGACATCCCTGGGGTGCTGCCCTCCAACTAGCTGACCAGGGGAAGAGTCATGAAGGCTGAAGTACAGTTTCATGGGGTGGTGAAAGAACATTGGGCTTGGAGGCCGTCGACCCTGAGTTCAACGCCAGATCAACCACTCACCAAGCTGCTGGTTGCTTTCAGGCAGGCTGCTTACCCTCTCTGTGCTGTGGCTCAGTATCTAAACACAGGTCGCGACTTCACAGCACGGGCTTTTAGAAGTCAGGGCCATCGTGCGGGCTCTCCACACGTCCCCTCCCTCCCTCTGTAATCAGGACAGAAGCGGGTGCACGCCTCTGTCCCTCGTTCCCAGAGGGGCTGGGGACAGACTGGCCTGCCTGCCTGCTGGGTTCAGGAAAAAGCATGCCAGGAAGGAAGCCCAGAGTCCTCTGGGGAAACTGAGGTCCCGCCATGTGACTGCTGTCCCCTGTCCGGACAAGGTAGTGGAGTACTGAGATGTTTCTAAGACAACCACCACGCCTGCCCCGGGAGATGCCGACACTGCCGACTGCTCCTCGGGGCTCTGGGTGCCCTGCTGCAGGGTAGGCTTCCAGATTGTGCGCTTCGGTCTTAGTGTTCCTGACAATGCCCTCCTGTTCTTACACTGACAGGTGGGATCGTTTCTCTTGTACCTTGATGGTGAGGGAGGAGTGCAGCTGGAATGAATCCTCCGGGTCTGGCCTTTGGCTAAAAGAGCCCCGGGCCCTGGGAACTGGCGGACAGGAGCTGCCATGGGGTGTCCACTCACTTTCCCCTTCGAGGCCTCCTTTGGAAAAGCTCAGAGCCTTTCTTTCCAAGTTTGCACCCAGGAGCTCCTCACATTTAAGAAAAGACAAGAGCCAGTGTGAACTCCTTGGGCTGAATCCAAACACAAAGAAGGTGTAAAAGAAGCTTAATCCTGAGTCGGCACAACCAGCCAAAGGGCTCGGGAGCCTCTGCCCCTGAAGGCCAGCCACGTGGGGACTCCTGGTCTGCGTGCAGTCCCGGTGGGGGCACTCCGAGGACCCAGGAGCCTGCCAGCCGATAGGTGGTGGTGGGCGGTCCTTCTCTACCCTCCCGGATGGCTGGCTCAGAGACCACGGCACAGGAGGGTGAGCCTGGCTTTGTTCCCCGACTGAGGCTGACACGGCTACGCCTCACCTCAATCCAGCCTACCCTCTTCCTCACTAAAACAATTCCACTTGCTGGGGCCATGCTTCCAGTGTAGAGGTGGAGGAGCCACGTAACACAGTCCTGGCCACGAAGAGAACAGATGCCGCTGGTGGTCAGGGCAAGCTGGGCCCTGCCCTCGTCCTCAGGTGGAAGTTGGGGCCGGTGAAGGGAGAGCCTGCATGCCCCCCCACCGGCACACCTCCTAATTGTGTCAAACACACACAGCACAACACGTGGCATCCGAGCCGCTCAAGCACACGACTCTGGTTTTAAGCCTGATCTTTTAAGCCTCGCTCTGCCTCCCTGTCTCAGATCTGTTTGCCTCTCCAACAGACCAGCTGCAGGGCAGATCTCTGGAGCCTCGGCCAGCCTCGGGCCTCCCCTGTCAGGCCCAGCGCCCATCTCCTGGGAAGAGCATCTCATCTCGCTGTGGGACAGCCTGAGCCCTGCCTATACGCAGGGAGGCCAAGGCCCTGGGCCCCCAGTTTGCTGGCTGCAGCACAGCAGAGGCCCGATCGGCACAACTGCCTACCTTCGGGGCCTTCTCTGCCCTATGCTTGCTTTCTCCTTGGCCCTGAGGCTGCACGGGGTCCACAGCTCCCTTCCCCTGCAGCTGCCCAGACACGGGCATCTTTGGCTCCTACTCCCTGCTGGGAACTCCAGCAGCTGCCTGAGGCACTGGGCAGATGAGATGGCACTGGGCCGCGTCCTCTGCCCGAGAGCAGAGCTGGGTGTCAGGACACACACTCACCCTGGGCTCGTAACGCAGCTCGAGTGCCTGCCCCATGCTGGGCGCAGGGATGCAGTTACATCACCCATGGCTGAGCACCCTGCCATGGGATGTAGAGGGGGCAGAAAGTCCCACTGCCCTGGGTGGGTGAAGGCCACCGGGGATGGCCATACGAATGTGCTGTGGGTAGTGACTTCTCAGAGCCAGGGGCCAGCTCCATGGGGGAGCTGATGTACGAGAGCCGCTCCCCTGTTCCAGAGGCCCTGAGGCCATGTCCTGCCCACGGGGCCAGCCAGGAGCCTCTCCTCCCAGAGCAAACCTGGAGGTCAGACAACCTGGGAGCGCAGTCCACGTCGGCATGTCCGTCAGCCTCGGCTTTCTCATCGCGACCCCTGGGTGGTAATGGGAACAGGGTAAATACGGCTTAGGAAGTGTCCACGAGACCAGGCACGGGACAGCAGCTGGAAGGCACTCAGCGTTCCCTCGTCATTGTCCTCTCCACTCCTCCTGGGCACCCTGGGGCCCTCCCAGCCACCTCGGCTGTCCAGACCTGCCCCTCACCCACGCCCGCCTTTGCCCTCGTACACACCCTCTGGACCCCACACATGCCTTTCTGCTCCCAGAAAACAGCTAAGGAAAAAGAGGGCAGAGGAGAGGGGGCCAGGAAACGGGGTGAGGGGTGTAACGGCATCCGTCTCACACTCACGTTTCCTCCTGCTCCTTCTCCTGTCCCTCCTCCTCCTCTCTCTGCCTCGCTCGCGCTCTCCCTCGCACACGCAAGCGCACACACGCACATACACGCACCCCTGGGCTCGCTCTCTGTCACATTTCTTACCACAACTCGGGGCCTTCTTCGCTGTGGGGACAGAGGACCAAGGCACACATGCAGGTGCCACTATGACACCTTTCCCAAACGGCACTGGCGAGCTCTCAGCGCTTCTTAAAGAGGCTAGAGAGCAGTCATAAAAACAGTCTGCACCCACGCTAGCAGAAGCGCGTCCACAGGGAAGCACCAGGAACGCTGCTGTAGCACATTATAACTGTCTTTATATAAAAGTAATCAAAATATCAATTTTCCTTTTAAAAACAGTTACGTAAATAAGCAGTTTATGGCATTGTTATCAAGTTTTAAAAGTATAGATAATAGGTGTCCCCGCCCGCCGGCCCGTACGCTGCGGTTTCTCCCTCCCGAGCAGGAGCGCGTTTCTCGCAGCCGCGTGGACAACGGGCAGTTTTCTTTTGGATGTCGCTGCTGTGGGGGGTCGTGCTGTAGTGAGGGGCTGAGGTGGCTGGTTCTGCTCCAGCTTTGCAGCCTCTCGCTGTGTGGCCACAGGTGAGGTACTGCCCCTCGCTGGCCTGTCTTCTCACCTATGAAGTGGGGAGCGTGGGAATGGAAACGTTCAAAGTCCCCTAGCCAGAGCGACCCAGGGAGCACGTGGCCTCAGCTCGAGCCCTCAGCCCTGATTGTCCAGTAAAGTGGCCGCTGTCCAAACAGCTGAGAAGAGCGTGCTCCTGGGTCAGTGCCCAGCGCTCTCCACACGGCGCTGTTCTCTGCCCTGGAATGTCCGGCTCTGCCTTGTTCTGGGCCTGGGTCCCTGTGGAGAGAGCGGTACCCGGGCTGGGCCTGGTGCTAGGATGGGAGGGTATGTGTGAGACAGAAGGCGGGAGAGGAGGTGCTGGGTTCAAGACCCTCTTAGGGCCTCCATTTCTTTTCTGTTTTGTGGCCTTTTCAGGGTCACTTTGATGCAAAGTCTGACAGAAGGCCTGAAAAACATCTCCTCTGGGCCCTCAAAAATCCACTTGTGAAGACTGGACACTATGTATATTGGTAAAAGGGGACATTTAGTGTTGATTTGGGGAAAACATGGCCCACTTTCAAAGCACTCAGGAACCACCTGCAGGTCCCTGGAGACAAGGGATGTGGTTCTGGCCTCAGTGCCCAGCAGAGTTGCCCAGCCCATCCCCGGGGGTGCACAGAGCCCCATCTACCAGACCCTGCTGGAAAGTGCCTGGTTTGGGTGGCCTAGACCCTGGCTCTACATTGGGGTGTGGGGGACGTTCCTGCCCGTCCACCTGCCTGTCTCTGACGCCGCTCCCGGGGAGGGCAGGAAGACCCATCAGACAAGCCACGCTCCAACACGGCGTCCCGCGGCCCTGGCTTGGACTCTCAACCTCTAGTCTGCGGTGCGGCAGGCTCTTCCCTTCTCCCCTCAGCTCGAGTTCCAGACGCTGAGGACTCAGTTGAAGAACAATGGAGGAGATGTGTCCATCCTGGCACAGTGAGGCGTGTGCTGTCACCACTCTGTGCGAGGTCTTACAACTCAGGCATGGTGTGAGCACTCCCTAAAGACTCAGGCCGTGCCCGGGAACGCAGCGCTGGCCAGAGGCTGCTGAGCCGGCGTCAGGGCTCCTGCACGCAGCGCCTCTTGGGTTCCAGGTCTGCTCCCTGGAGTTCTTTTCCTCCCTTCACATCAGCCTACCACTGGTCACTTCCACTGCTGTCATGGCCATTGCTACTTCTAACCCACGGCGTCTATGCTTCGCAGGCGACGAAACCAGGCAGGCTGCTGCCCTCTGCGGGAAGCATCTCTGGGCCCTGAGTGTAGGCCCTGCTGCTCTCCCAGAGGCAGCTCGAGGCCGTCACTCTAACTTCTGAGCTTGGGGTGGCTTCTGGATAAGAGCTTGCCATGAAGGTGACATGTCATCGTCCCTACCTTGCAGGACTCACTGCCAGCTGAGGCAAAAGTGCTACCAGATTTGACTGGAAAATGACACTGCTAGGCCTTCCCCAAACTATAAGTCCACGGCATACAGGAAACGATGCTGCAGGGCGTTTACATATGGGGCGAATGAAAGTTCAATGGCAGCGCCGGGTCACACTGCACACGCTTGGTGTAAACAGGAACCGTCCACGCTGTACAGAAGTCGGGAACTTGGAGCCGGGTGTGGACACGGTACGCAGCTCTGTGGTCTCTCGCCTGTTTCCAGTTTCTCCAGGGGGGCATTCTCCGGCGTCCCAGGACCGCTGGAGGTTGGAGGAGCGAGTCCCTGAGCACCCCGGGGGGCTAAGTGGGTGGAGGGCCGTTGTAGCGGAGCATGAGGGTGAAGGAGCGGGCCAGGTTGTTGGCCAGGGTGCAGCTGCGGTCCTTCTCCCCCATGGGGAGCAGGAAGGCCAGGAGGAGGAAGAGGAGCAGCAGCAGCTGCAGTGGCAGCGCGAGGCAGCAGGCCTTCCGGAGCAGGGGGCAGAGTCCTCGCCCCCGCCGAGCCTGCAAAGCAACACAGGACGTGAGCGCTTGGGGCTTGGGGGGAGCAGGGGCAAGGGGGGCCCTCTGGCCTGGCCACCATGTGACCACACACATTTCAGTCTTCCCATCTGTGAAACGGGCCCGATGTGAGTTTGCCAGGAACAAAGATCTCTGCGGTGTTCTCACACCATTCACAGTGTGAAAAAGGAGAAAAGGATGAAGTGTGAGGCTCTGCCAGGTTCCCCAGAAAGCCCTGCCTGAGGGGAAGGGTGCGGGCTGGGACTCAAGACGGTCGCTCAACCTCTAGACTCACACCTCTCAGCCCAGCGTGGGAGCGGCCCTGCCACCAACAGTGGTTGTGAGGATCGAGCGAGACACAGCCGGCATACAGGAGGATTCAGAAGCTGCAGTCATCACTACGCCTCATTCCTACCATCAACATCTAAGTTGCTGCCACCACCATCACCACCACCACAGTCGGCACCAACATCACCACCACCACGGTCGGCACCACCATCACCACCATCATGGTCGGCACCAACATCACCACCACCACGGTCAGCACCAACATCACCACCACCACGGTCGGCACCACCATCAGCACCACCACGGTCGGCATCAACATCACCACCACCATGGTCGGCACCACCATCACCACCATCACGGTCGGCACCACCATCACCGCCATCACCACCACCATGGTCGGCACCAACATCACCACCATCATGGTCGGCACCACCATCACCACCACCACGGTCGGCACCACCATCACCACCACCATGGTCGGCACCAACATCACCACAATCACAGTCAGTACCACCATCACGGTCGTCACCACCATTATGGTTGTCACCACCATCACCACCATCACGATCGTCACCGCCATCACCATCACGGTCGTCACCATCACGGTTGTCATCATCATGGTCGTCATCATCATGGTCGTCACCACCATCACGGTCATCACCATCACCACAGTCGCCATCACCTTCACCACATCACGGTCGCCACCACCATCACCACCATCACCGTCGGCACCACCATCAGCACCATCACACGACCATGGTTGTCACCACCATCACCACCATCACAGTCACCACCACCAGGACCACCGTCACGGTCGCCACCACCATCACCACCATCACAGTCATCACCACCATCACTACCATCATTGTCATCACCACCAGCACCACCATCGTGGTCGTCACCACCATCACACAATCATGGTCGTCACCACCATTACCACCGCCAGGCTCGTCATCGTCACCATCTTCTCATCCTTCCTCTCCCCCGTTCCTCATTCTCCTCTTGGTCCTCCTGCCCTTCCTCCTCCTCCTCCACACCCTCCCCTTCCTTCTTCTTTCTCTTCTTCGTCATACTCATCTTCATCCTCAGCATCATCAGTCTCCCCTGAAGGTCAGTACCCTAGTCTTCTCTGCTGCAATGTCCATAAAAGTGGTCAAAGGACATCTCCTAAATTCTATTGGGTCATTTGAAAAGTAACGACACATTTTTTCATATTTTTATATGCAAAAATGCGTCATGACTTTTCCAACCACCCAGTGGAAGGATGGGTAGTTGTGGCTGTGAGGATATTCAAATGGCCAGGGAGTGTGGGACAAAGTGCCATCCTTCAGGAAAGTGGATGCCCTCATGGTCACAATGTGGCTGATGCAGGGCATGGGTCCAACTCTTAGAACTGGAAGACTGGGTTCCAATCCAGGCTGTCACATACTAGCTGTGTGGCCTGGGGCAAGCCAGTAACCTCTTTAAGCCTCTGTTCCCCTCTCTGCAAAATAGTGATAAAACATTCACCCCTATTTGCTGGGCTACGGTTGAGGACTCAAGACAAAGTATAGCTATATCTCAGTTAAAGAGTGCCCCGGCTCTACTACGCTCTACTAGTCATAACAGCACCAGCACTATCAGTAACTCTTAGCACTCGCTCATTGCTGTTAATATTAGTAGTAACAGATTAATACTCTGTAACTAATATTACAGAGTAGATCTGCTAGCTCCCTGAAGAACCAATGGTTAACCCTCCAGGGCACCAAAAGCCACAGTCCAGATGACAGCAACAATGGCCATGTGGTGGTGGTGTTGGCAATAATGCTTGATGATGGTGGAGGAGATGGTCATGGTGATGGTCATGGTGGTGGTGATGGTCAAGGTGGTGGAGATGGTCATGGTGGTGGTGATGGTCAAGGTGGTGGAGATGGTCATGGTGATGGTGATGGTGGTGGGGATGGGCATGGGGGGGGGCATGG